TTTTAATTGGGCTATCTTTGAGGGTGTTAGGTGGTATCTCGTTTTAATTTGCATTTCTCTTATGGCTAAAGATCGGGAACGTTTTCTCATATGTTTGTTGGCCATTTGGATTTCTGCCCCTGTGAGACTTCCGTTCAGGTCCTTTGCCCACCTCCTCAATGGGCAATTAGTTATTTTCTTTTTGGAAGCTAGCAGAGTATTGTAGGTTTTAGTAATAAGGCCTTTGTCTGATGTGTCATTGCTAAAGATGTTTTCCCAGTTCATGGGCTCTCTTATTACTCTCTTGGTGAATTCTTTCGATGTACACAGGTGTTTTATCTTCAGTATATCCCATTTGTCAATTTGTGCTTCCTCTGTGTTTGTATCCTCCCCTTTTTCTGATAGCCTATGTATTCCCTGTGCCAAAGTTCTCAAGTTGGTCCCAATTCCCTCATTGATGGCCCTAATACTTTGGGGTTTAACTTCAAGGTCTGTGATCCACCTTGGGTTTATTCTTTTGCATGGAATGAGATAAGGGTATTGCTTCATTTTTCTGCAGGTAAATATCCATTTTTGCCAGCACCACTTGTTAAAGAGGGCATCTGCTTCCCATTGGATATTTTTTTGGCCCTTATCAAAGATCATTGTCTGTATGCTGATGATTTTATTTCTGGGTTTTCAGTTCTTTTCCATTGGTCTGAAGATCTGTCATTGTCCCAATACCATGTGGTTTTGACATCTGTGGCTGTATAGTATGTGCTAAAGTCAGGTAAAGCAAGCCCTCCCACTGTGTCCTTCTTCTTGAGGAGTTCTCTGCTAATTCTGGGCTTCCCTCTCCATATGAAGTTGGTAGTCAGTTTTTCCATTTTTTTGAAGAAAGATGAGGGTAATTGCATTGGGATTACATTAAACTTATATAGTGCCTTAGGAAGAACTGACATCTTTACTATATTGAGCCTTCCAATCCACGAGCATGGGATATACTTCCATTTGTTGAGATCGCTCTTGTTTTCTTGTAATAGTGTCCTGCAGTTTTCCCCATGTAGATCTTTTGTTCTTTTAGTCAGGTATATCCCTAGATATTTTAATTTGTGTTTGGCTATTGTGAAGGATACCTCCTTTTTGATCTCCTCTTCTGTGGTCTTATCCGATGTGTCTTACAGTCCGATGGACTTCTGTTTGTTGATCTTGTATCTGTGCTGTTATTCTTGTCAGATACCATCAAGTTGGTTCTGACCCATAGCAACCAAACAGCAAAACAAAACACTGTCCACTCTTTGCCATCCTTACAGTCTGGTTTGAGAATTGTTCATTGTTGCAACCACCATGTTGGTCCCTCTTGTTAAGAGTCTTTCTTCTTTTTGCTGACCTACTTACTTCTTCACCAAGCATAATGTTCTTCTCCAGAGCCTGGGCCCTCCTGATAACATGTCCAAAACATGGGAGTCAAAATCTCACCATCCTCCCTTCTAAGAAGCATTCTGGCTGTACTTCTTCTGATACAGATATGTTTATTCTTCTGACAGCCTGGGATATATTGAATATTTTTCACCAACACCATGATTCAAAGGCATCAATTCTTTTCCAATCTAAATTATTCCTTGTCCAGCTATCACATGCATATGAAGTGATGGAAAATATCAGTTTGAGTCTCTGGACCCAGTAAAATGACAGTATTACAGTGAGTTAGTAAATGAGCTTTAAAATGTATGGAAACCTCACAGAAGGGTCACAAGGAAGAGATGAGCCAGCCAGGTGCAGTATAGCACTGACCAAACACACACCTCTAGTTCTTTAATACTTCCTACCCCTGTACCACCACCACTATCATAACCCCAGTTCTATCTTACAAATCTGGCTAGACCAGAACATGTACACTGGTACAGATAAGAGCTCTCGAAACACAGAATTCAAGACAGATAAACCCCTCATGACCAATAATGAGAGTAGTGATACCTAAAGGTACGGGGGAGGTGGGAGGAGAATGGGGGAACCGATCACAATGATTGATATATGACCTCCCCCGGGGGGGGAACAACAGAAATGTGGGTGAAGGGAGACAGCAGACAGTGTAAAATATGAAAATAAAAATAATTTCTAAATTATGAAGGTTCATGAGAGTTGGAGAGGAAAAAAGAGCTGATACCAAGGGTTCAAATAAAAAGCTATGTTTTGGCAATGATGATGGCAACATATGTACAAATGTGCTTGATACAATTGATGCATGGATTGTTATAAGAGCTGTAGAGCCCCCAATAAAATAAGTTATTAAATTTTAATATATATATAGAAAATTCCAAATATACATAAAAGGAAAAGGAGAGTATAATGATTCCTATATGGTCCTTCACCAGTTTCCCTTAAAGACTTTAATTACCCAGCTTCAGTAATTATCAACTCATGGGTAATTATTTTATCAGTATCTCAAATACCTTTTATAAATATTTTATCAGAAATCTCTAAAAGGCAAGATTTCTCTTTAAGGAAAACAAATTAGAAAAAAAAAGACCAATTATTCCTAAATACCACCAAATAGTCAAACTTCTCCCAGTTGTCAGTTTGATTTTACAGTGTGAGTCAGCAGCCAGGAAAGGTCCTTATTGGAGATTGATAGATCTCTCAATCAATAAACAGCTTCTCCATCTCTCTCACATGCACTCTTTCTCCTTTTTATTTATTTATCTTCTTTTATAGTGAAAGTCTTGGTCCTGTAGAGATAAAACAAGCTTTTTGTTGTTGTAACATCTTGGTATTGCTTTGCTCTTGAGTAATAACCAAGAGTTATCCCCACCTATTTGGTCATGGCGACTGCTGGCCCTCCTTCTCCTGCCAACCTTTCCAATTGGCGCATTACAGCAGCCTCCCAGCTCTAGCTGACTCCAGCCGAAGAATGTTTTCTTGTTTGCCATTGAGAAGGTCTAACTCTAGACTAAGGAGTCTTAATCTGCTAGGATCACCAACTTCAGTGAACCCCCAGAATTTCTGGAATGAGACACAGTAGTCGCTTTTTTTTTTTTTTTTACTATTTTTTTTTTAAACATTTTATTAGGGGCTCATACAACTGTTATCCCAATCCATACACACATCAATTGTGTAAAGCGCATTTGTACATCGTTTCTCAAAACATTTTCTCTCCATTTAAACCCCCGACATTAGGTCCTCATTTTTCCCCTCCCTCCCCGCTCCCCCCTCCCGCATGAGCCCTTGATAGTTTATAAATTGGTATTTTGTCATATCTTGCCCTGTCAGTAGTCGCTTTTTAAAATCTGCAGGTGCTCCCAGTGTGCAGCCAAAGTTTAAAACCACTCCTATGGTAGATTTCTCTCAAGTTGTACTCCATAGAAGGCTGATTACGTAGCTAATAATGTTATCCTCTCCCCCACCCCCACCCCTGCCCATTCATGATACAGCCTTTTTCTCTGTTTTTTAACTCATTTTTAATCATTATTTAATCATTTTATTGGGAGCTCTTACAGCTATCACAACATTCTCTGGCTCATTCACATCAAACTGTTGTAAAACTGCTACCACAATTAGTTTCAAAACATTTTCTTTCTTCTGGAACTCCTTGGTAGCTGCGCCCCTTTGTCCCCGCCCTCAATGCAGCACTTTCAAGATAAATCATTATATGAATATAAAGAAAGAATGAAGAGACTTGCATTTTCCAAGCTACAAGATTCATAAGCGGTTTATATAGTTTTCTTCTACTTAGTTAATGTGGCTGGCCTCGTTCAAAATGAGATGTCTTCAGAGAGAGCACAAAATGATCACTGATTTTGTTTCTTCTCACTTTAGAATGCTGCTTTTAAACTACCTGGGCAGAATTGGGTCTCACACTCCTTTGATGGCAGCTGCCACGTTTTCAGTTGGTTGGAATGTCTTTGCTTGTTCAGAATCATTGGAGAAGCCCCTGAACTGGCTACTTTTTAATTACTATTTGACAACCTGCCTCCAGTCTTCAGTGAAGAAGTAAGTTATCTTTAAAAGCTGTTGTCCCCAAGCCTTTTTTGGATTACATGCCCCCATAAGAAAAAAAATTAATATGTAGATTTACTTATATATGATAGGCCTTTACTACTGTACCAAAGTATCCTATAGATTATAAACATACACAAGCAAACTTTAAATGTAAGTATAAACCAAAAGTGCTAGTGAAAGTTGTATTGCTTTCTTTCTGTACCCTCACTGGATTGTTCTATAAAATTCCTAAGGAACATGTACCCCACTCTGGAGAGCAGTGTTCTAAATTACTCTGTAAGACCAGCAATATTCGTATGAAATATTTGGAGTAACATAATGGGCTATTTCCCTGGATTTTCTGCATGTTAATAATCTTGTTATTGGATGCCACCAAGTTGGGCCCCAGCCCCTGGCAACCCCGCATGTGTCAGAGCAGAGCCGAGCACTGCTGAGATTTTAGACGTAGATCACCAGGTCTTTCTTCTTCTGTTGACTTATTCTAGAAGTGCTACTGAAAAGGTGCTCAGCATCATAGCCACATGCTCTATTCAACTAAGCTCTATTGACAGATGAACGGTGGCTGCACATGGAAGGGGAGAATCCTACCAGTGAACCACCACTCCTCTCTTTGCTAATATTACTATCATGGGTAGTAAGTGGAAGTCTGGTGTGGAAGCGCATGCTTGCATACAGCTTCATTTTTCTTCACTCTTGATTCCCAGGCGAGGAGGGAGCCAACAGTTGCCCCTCAGATGGCAACTTAAGACCTCAGTTGCTGCTCACCAACCTCGGCTGTAGAACATTGACCTTGTGAATGATTTTATGCGAATTGACCCTGGTGTCCACCAAGACTATGGTCCAGTGACTCAGATCTAAGATATTTTCATAACTTGCCTCCTGTATAGTCCGCTTCATTGATGATATTTTCAGGGAAATAGTGACTTTGGATCAGTTTTTCTGGCATTTTTATCTTCCGTAGTATAAATCTGTTTTTGTTTTCTATGCCATGTATTTTTAAGTGATTTGATAATTTTGTGTGTGTGTGTGATTTGATAAATTTATATTTAAACTCTATATTCAAAAACAGCTAATTTGGACATGGCTTTTTGAATCATAGTTATCCTGAAGTTTCATATTAAATATTCAACTAAGCTTAATTTATTTATAAAATTACAGATCTTCATAATGATGGCATAGCAGTCATTAGAGACTATTCAAGTGGTCATTGAAATGGGGATCTTAGTCCAAAAAATTATTAAAATTACACTGGGAAAATGACCAACTTTTGAAAATAAGTATGCAGAAATGTAAATTCTATTTTTCAGTTTAACATCTTAAACAATAATGCCTTCAGAAAAGACATGAACATACGGTACACTTGCTTGATTGATTAAGTAAATGTGTGTCCCATGGTAGGCTATTTAGCTATTGACTCTGGGGCATTTAGGTGTGAGTGAGGTGGAAATGAACTGTATGTTTTATTTTTGCAATTCTTTTGTTCTAGGCACCGGCATATGTTTGTAAAACAAATTGACATGGATCATGTCATGAAGGTAGGAAAGAAGTTCTGAGTGCAATACTTTTATTTCCTTGTTTGATTTCAAGAAGAGATACAGTTTGTTTTTATTTTTTTTCAGGCTAAATCTATCAGAGAGTTTGATAAGCGATTCACTTCAGTCATGTTTGGATACCAAACAATCGATGATTACTATACTGACGCCAGTCCAAATCGTAGGCTGAAGTCTGTAGGGATTCCTGTCTTGTGTCTGAATTCTGTGGATGATGTTTTCTCACCTAGCCACGGTAAAATAAACATCCTTCTTTATATTTTGATTTAAATTTGCTATTTTAACATACTACTATTGCTCAGGAATTGCAGGATAAGAAGTAAAATGTCAGCCACACTTATTTTTCAATATGATAGACAGAAAAAAAAACTAAACTAGATACTCAAGACATAATACCTAAATGCTTTGGATCTTTCTTAAACATTTTTACAGAACCCTTTCTCGCCCACTCATAACAAGGGATGACACTCACTACTTTGTTTGTTCTCTTTTAAAAAAAAAAAAATCTCATTGCCACTGAGAAAATTCTTACTCATAGCGATCCTATAGGACAAGGTAAAAATGCCCCTGTGTGTTTTTGAGATTAACTTTTTACAGGAGTAAAAAGCCTTGTCTTTGTCACACGGAGTGGCTAGTGGTTTCAAACTGCTGACCTTGAAGTTAACAGCCCAATGCATAACCATTATGCCACCAGGGCTCTCCTTGTTCTCATTTTTATGATGTTTCCTTTTTATCAAATAAGCTACTTTTCAGACAGATTGTTACAGGATCTTTGCCTATCAGTATATTATCATCACATGCCTTTTCTTCATAAGGTTTCTAAATAAGAAAGCTTTGAAGTGTGCCCTCCACCCAACCAACACGCATGGCCTTGACTATCCCAGTGACTGTGGCACATTAGAACAAAAATGTCACATGTGGAAGGAAACAGCCTTTGTTTTCACTCTGGGTACTATATGAAAGAAAATTATGTACCAAGGGCTCAAGGAGAAAGCAAATGTTTTGAAAATGATGATGGCAACAAATGTACAAATGTGCTTGACACAATGTATGTATGGATGGATTGTGATAAGAGTTGTTTGAGCCCCCAATAGAATGATTTTTTTAAAAAAGAAGAAAGAAAATTATGCCCAAATTAACTTTCATGCTCTCTGGTAGCAGAGACATATTAAAGGTGAAACTGAGGTACAGGGAGACAGACCGACATAACTGACAGGACCTCCCGGATAAGGTTCTGTGACCTAGGCCAACAGGTCAGGGAAGTTGTACTCAGCAGCTGGGGGCGTGGGTTTTTAAAGGGGTGGTGAGGAATGTACGGCAATTAGCATATGGGGTCTGGAAACTCTGAGAATTGCTTGTTGATTCCTTGTGGCTTTCTTCAAACCCAGAACTTCTGCTTTCACCAGTTATCTTAGCTGGCACCTTCTGCTACTGACCTTTGGGGATGTGCAGAAAGCATGTGCAGGGCCCTGACCTGCATCAGCTTAATCCAAACATTCCAGCCTTTTTAGTGTTAAATAGGCATCAGTATCTGATCTGGCTACTTCCTGCTGATCGGGGTGACGGTGGCAGGGCTATGGGCTGGAATGGTCTGGACCAGCATTGGCAGGTAGGGGGCTATAAGGATGTAACAAGAGTTGGTTAGCAGTTAGATTGGATATGTCTTTCATTCGTTCTTGAAGGAACTTTTAAGAACAAGGGGTTAAAAGTAACAGCAAGCAAATTACTACCAGGGGTCCTACCAGGAGCATGACCAAGGACATAAAGGGGTTTTGGAACCAGGAGGTGGTTGCTGCACTGCCCTAGTGGCGACTTTTGATTTCTTTGGCCGAGATTTTAACACTGTAACATTTTGCTGAAGCACTCCAGACTCATTAATATAGCAGCAAAATTTTTCCTAGAAACATGCACATACCTCTCTTGTCAGCTGTTAACAGATCCAATGCACAGTGGTTCTGAAGGGTTACCTGTGCTGGGGATGTAAGCTGTCGCTGTAAGGAGGTGAGAGACTGAGGTGGATTTTATGACTAGCTGGAGTTGCTTGTTAAAGTTTAGTGTTTGGAGCATGCTGTGCTCTAATGGTCTACTAGAAATCTCTGCCGCTGCCAGGGAGAGGGTAAACCTAAGGTTTACTAGGACAGGTAGCAATACAGGTATGCTTTGCCTTACTAGCCCTGATTTATTATCATGATAACAGCACTCTTGAGCTGTCCCTGCAGGGAGGCGAGAGAGACTGGGATGGATTAGGAATGCTGCTCTTCTCGACTTCTGGGTGGAGAGTAGCTGTGCTAATTCATACTGACCATATAGTATAAGCTGTGCTTGTTCAGAAGTTGGTGGTTGGAGGTCTTTTATGACCCAGCGTCTGTCTAGAGTAAACTCTGAGTGGTGGGGTGAAGCTCGGGTCTAAATAGATAACCGTGGAATGAGATAATGGTGCCTTGGAGGAAGAGAGAAATTAGGCTGTGTTTGCTTTAGAACTGTTTTAGGAGGGGCTGCAGGTAAAGGTAAACAAATGCTGACAAGCTGGGTTAAGGGGAGATGATAAAAAAGACAATAGAGGCGGGAATGTGGGACAAAAGAGTACAAAGGTCTGGAACTACGGGGTGTAGAGGATAACAGCTTCATTAATGAGGCGCAGGTCCTGGACCAAGCATTAAGTACCATTTGGTTTCTTACTGGTAAGATTGGAGTGTTGCAGGGAGAGTGGGTAGGAGTAAGGAGGTTGTTAGAAAGGAGGCATTGTATGCTGGGTTAACATCGGGTTAACATCGGGAAGCAATGAGGTCTATAGGGCCAGTTCTCCCAGGTTGGGTGAAAGAAGGGGAAGGAGCAGAGGTCCTGTGAGACCAAAAGTAAGGTATAAGGAGGCTCCTAATTTATTTAAAATGTCTCTTCCCAACAGAGGGACCAGGCACGAAGGGATTATAAGGAAGGAGTGAGTAAAAGGGCTAGTACACCTAGGGCAGGTAGGCTTGCCATCAATATCCATGACCGAGATTGAGGAAGGACTGCCTAGCCCTAAAAATGAGGGCAGGTCAGAAAA